AACCTCTTCTATAGAAGAGGTTAAAACTGGCAGGAACCCACCCCTGCTGGTTACCTACCTAGCTACCAAGATAGTATTAGGTTCATTATAAATCTGTTGAACTATCCTAAACTACATTTTATTTCCAGAAAAGGATAGAATGCCTAATGCAAATCTTATAGGTCCGGATTTTGGCTTTTCTTTTTTTATTATGTTAATTAGTGGAATCATTTTGTCATTATTTTCTTTCATTTTAAATAATTTTGAAGGCATTTTTAATGAAAGAATTTTAATCATTTGACAATGGAATGCTGTAATGGTCATAAGTGTGAAAAACAGTCAAAAGTCACTTTTTCAGTGCCATTCTAATCCCTAAACAATCACTAAATGAACTGTTGGAATTGAAGAACTCTCTGAATTTTTATGGCTTTTGTTTAAATTATTTATACAACTGATTCATACATATTATGCAGTGGGTGTTTTTACCTGTTAATTCATAAATCGTAATCTATAAATGGTATTTATCATAGTGTGTAAATGTAACTAATTTATTGATTAGGTAATCAACTATATATAAAAAAGAATTTAATCTTGGCTGACAAATTAAAATAAAAGGGGTACCTTGTACAGGATATAGAGCAGTATATATTCAGATAATTGAGTCACCTTTACAAGTAACCCCAATTGTTTTGATATAACAAGTTCTTAATTGAGCAGCCCTGATTATAAATTTGACAGTTCTGCTGATTATGTACACATTAGTACAGAATGAACTCAAATGAGGTGGACATGACAATGGAATGTAAATAGAATAATTCATATTTCTTTTGCAGTACCCAAAGTCCAATTTAAGGAACCTCTCTACATTGTGAATGAAAAAGATGGTCAGGTGGAAGCTGTAATCTCACGAAGTGGAGATGTTAATCATAAGTCTACTGTCCGCTGTTACACTCGCCAAGGCTCTGCCCAGGTTATGATGGACTATGAGGAGAGACCAAACACAGATGATTCAGTAATAACATTCCTACCAGGTAAGATCTTCTTTTAAATAAAGAAGCTTCCCAGGAAGCAACTTGTTGCAATGATAAAAAAAAATGACCATACTCATAATTTTAGGCACCATGTAGTCATTCCAAGCCCTATTTTAATGATTCTTCTAATGTGTGTGTGTGTTGGGGTGTTTGCATTCAGGTATACAGTACTATATACAGTAAACATACAAATTAGAAATGAAAGTTCAGTGAATGTAAAGCTAGAAACCTAGAATCTCATGTTACTGCATAGTCCATTGATTTTGCTTCCATTATGATGAAATTAATTAGTAAGCCTTTTATTAATCAATGGTTATAGAAACTTCACTATAAAAGATTTGTGAATTTCAAACTCTTTGTCTGAAGAGAACAGTTGTGTAGCAACTGCCCGATCAAGCAGATTTTATTAAGGTTTTTTTTGTTTGTTTACCTGTTTTTATTGTTGTTGTTTAAATTTATCATTTTTATTCCTGTGAAGTTTAGCAGATAAAAGTTGGAATATAAGTTGCATTGGAAAGCTGGCTAGCATTAAGGGGAACTGAAGCTCGAAACAAATCAATTTCTCAAGATTGGTTATTTCCAGTATTCAGTGATTACATATGATAATATGTGATATCGTTAGTGCATTAATCTCTTTAATATGAATTTTGAAGTTAAGTGATAGATTCTGCAGTTAGCACGTCTTAGCTGAACTGACTGGTCTTGAAAACTAAATTGGATTTGGCTCAGGAACGCCAGGAAATTCCAGGAAAGATTGAGAAACCATATTGGAATATGTTAATGAAAAACTGGTTTCATAGTATTATAAAACAAACAAACCTAAGTGGACACATCCATTAAATCACCAAGAGTCAAAATACACTGTAAGAGCTACCCTGGTTTTTTGTTTCCTAAAGGAGAGATAGAGAAACCCTGTGTTGTGGTTTTGGAAGATGATGCTATCTATGAAGAGGAGAAAGAGTTCAGACTGGTGCTTGGAACTCCAAAAAGTACCTCTTCATTTGGTGCTTCCATTGGGGAGATAAAAGAAGTACTGGTGAAGATTAAGGATGAAGAGGACAGTAGGTTGATGAGCTATTTGCTATTCTTTCAATTAAAGGACCTTTAGATTATTACTTCAAGGGACATCAAACTGGACAGCTGCTGTATTATATGCATAAGAAATTAGGATTAATTTAGACATTGCTAATCTTTCCATTCAAGGACAATGCTTCTAAAATATAAATTAAAGCCATGAAACAGAAGTCAAATGGTTAATAACATTTTGTTAGATAATAGTAAATTGGCTGTTTTCCTTCAAAATCACCCTAAACCACATCCTCTAATAAAATAAATAGTTTAAAATAAAATACCCTTTATTTTATTACCTTTTTCTGGATAAGTGTTACATTTTAACATGTATCAAATAAAGCATTAAATTGGAATTTTTCAGAAATTAAATATATTTAAAAGTATATTAAAAGTACTTAAAACTTTAATCACATGTAATCAGTAATTTCATCCTTTTGTCACCTTAAAAATTACAATGTAGTGTAATTTTACAATGTCAAACAGTGACATGTTTTGAGCAATTGAAGGTAACATATTATGAAATATGAGGTACAAGTTATAAACCTGTGTTTCAAAATGTAGAAATGCTTAACCGCTCCTCCCCCACTGATGAATAAAAGAAAGTAGTAAATGAAAAGACTGGAATGGAAAGAAAACTATAGCTGAATATAAATTGGTCATGTTTATAAATACTGTATCCCTGATAGGAAGTTTTCTATTATAGCCTCTGCTTCTATCAAAAAAGTTTACCAACTTTCAATTATTTAATAGCTTATTAGGAAATCCTTCTCAATACTTAAAATCTATTTTCTTTTCATGTGTGTCCTCTGGTACAGACTTTCCCTGTGTAGTTACAGAAAAGAAACTGCTCAATGTTATAATTTGTTTTAACATTAGCCCTGATGTGCCACTGGGCAGTCTAAGAAAGAGACTCTTATGGTTCTTCAGAAAGTAACTATTCATTATCTAGCTCCCTGATGATGAACTTATGGCACGCGTACCAGAGGTGGCACACAAAGCCTTGTCCGTGGGCATGCATGCTGTCATCAGCTGCTCTTCTGGTTTCCAGCACGCCAGCCAGCTGCTCTTTACGGGCACCAGTGTGTCAGAAAATGGCCCAAAACGCAGCCTGAAAATGCCCCCAAAACAGGCATGCACGCACTGGCCAACTGGTTTCAGGTTTCCAATGCTCCAGCACACACATGCACACATATGCATGTGCGTTCCACTTTGGGCACTTGGCTGAAAAGGTTTGCCATCACTGATCTAGCTCTACCATTCAGGGATTTACTATAATTCACACCTGTACAGAGTGGTGAGAATCAGTTTTGATTTGTATTCATCCAACTCTAGTATTGCATATGCTGACAAAATAGAATGTATTGAAATAGAATTAAACCCTGAGTGGAAACAATGGTGTTTTATAAAGTTTAACCTTACAAAATTCTGTATCGTCTTCCTTTTATGATTTGAACTGATCAATTGATGTTCATAATGGCATCGTTCTTGTCTTGTCATTAATTAAATTTAACATAAATCACATTGCTAAATAATAAATTCAGTAAACTAAGCAAAATGTTATTTTCTTGGTTAGGACTTCTTTTCTGTCTTAGTCTATACTTAAAAGCGATTTCCAAGTTTAGCCTTGATTGAAAGGAGAAGTTGACCTTTTTCAGTTGTCTTGCAGAACCAATGATTAAATTCTCTGAGGTGAAATACAACATTCAAGAACCAGGGGAGCCTGGAGAGATTGCAGTTTTAAAGATCCCAATCTTGCGACTTGGAGATACTTCCAAAATTTCCATTGTAAGAATTCATACTAAAGATGGTTCAGCTACTTCTGGAGAAGACTATAATCCAATGTCTGAGGGTAAGATTCTGATCCTAATGTTAATGCAACAAATGTTATTGCACAATATATATATTTTTAAAAAAATCTGGGATTAGATATGTTTTTAATGCTACAAAATGTGAGTGCAAAACTTTGACGGATGAATATTCATATTTCACAGATAAGACCCAAATTTCTCATTTCTCACTATTCATTTTAGATATTGAATTTAAAGAAGGAGAAACAGAGCACTTTGTGGAGGTTGAAGTTTTGTATGATGGAGTGAGAGAAATGCGTGAAGCATTTATAGTGCATTTGAAACCTGATGAGAATATGGTGGCTGAGACACAGGTAAATATCCAAGTGGTTCGTCCTGTAGTTTGCATTCAGTTGAGGATGATTCAGAAATGTCAAAGCATTAACAATCTCAGCTGTTCAGAATTCATGGAAGTCTGCTTTTGGAGATCAAACTAAAAGCAAAGCCTTTGCCCAGACCTGCTTCTATTCTTTGGAAAGTTTAGAAGCATTGAACCCAACCAAGCATTCAGATTAAGGAAGATTTAAAGCTTTGGCTTGATTTAAAATCTCTACCCTTAGACTGACCATTAAACTGACCAAATAAGTGTCGGTGCCATCCAATAATATCCAATTGCCTCTCAGTGAAAAATAGTTTTAGCATGCTTGAATTATTGATCTGAATCTACATCTTTCTAGCAAATATGGATTGATACATATGAACAGCTATCAAGATGAATTGGCCATGAGTGTTTCTTTTACTAAATAAGGTGGAAAGCAGTTTCCTTTGTTGATATGTTTTTAGAGGCATGGAATGGTTCTATGGATTCCCTTTGTCCAATGAACAATTTTTTCCTCTAACAAAAAGAAACCTTTAGAGTCATCCTCTAGAATGGATAATAATGGCATAAGACAAGTCTTATGACCCTACATCGTAAGTCAGGTTTAAGATATCGTGAAAAGGAATAAATTGATAATTGTTTCATATATTTTAGTTCTTGATTATTTTATTATGATAAAGTGTTCATTATATGTTTCAGTGTCAAAATTAATCAGTTTTGAATGGTATGCTCCTTTAATTTATATCTTCATATTCTGCATTCTATCATGGGTAGATTAATTTTAACATTTCATATATTATGTATAATGTAGCTGGTTACAGAAGCATGTTTTCATGTCAGCTTTACATTTAGAGATAGAAACTTTTTATGTTTTTCCAATATAGACGAATAAAGCCATTATATACATTGAAGAAATGGATAGCATGGCAGATGTGACTTTCCCAGCTGTGCCACAAGTTGTATCACTTCTGTTGTATGATGACACTGCCAAAAGCAGAATAAATCCCCAGCCTCCCAATGGATATCCTATTGTGTGTGTAACGGTACGATCCATCTTTTTTCAAGTTATAATGTCTTGATTTTTCTTCTACTAGATGGAAAAAATATTTGGGATTAAACTTTTAAACTTCTGGAAAGTTCCATTTTATCAGTATATACTTGATTATCAGTATCTATTTAAAAACATAGAAAGTTTAATGTTGAGGACATTAGTTATACTTTTTGTTTCATGTGCCCTCAAAATTTTGCTTATGGAAAAAATCATGTTAATGCCAATTTCACAGAAAAGAAACTGATATGAAGGAATAGATGTTTGTTTAGTATTACATATGCATTCTCCATAGAATTAAAACCTGATCTAAATCTTCTTGCAACTCCCTAGATAATCTACTGATGCTTCCTTTCTTCCTTTCCCCTGATTTTCTAATAGATGATATCCATATCTTTTTTCATTCAAGCCTCAATAAATTGAAGTCTTTCCATAGCATTTGGCTTTTACATTGAAATACCAGAGTCAGTAATACTTAATTGTTAGCTAGGATGAACATAACATAAGATTTATAAAGTGATAACAAGAATAAGGAATTTGCTAAATACTCTACTCAACAAAAAGAGAGGAAAATCTTATTATTTCATCTTAATTAAGCATTGTCATGGCACATATGTTAAATATAACTAAATGGATATAATGTATGCATTTTGGCATTTAGGCATGCAATCCCAAATACTCAGATTATGACAAGACTGGATCTATTTGTGCTGCTGAAAACATCAATGACACAGTGACCTTGTATCGTTGGCTTGTCAGTGCCCCAAGTGGCATGGATGGTGTGACCAGTCCTATGCGTGAAGTGGATTCCAATACTTTCTTCACTAATACCAAGTCAATTGCTTTAGACTCCATCTATTTCCAAGCTGGCTCCAGGGTTCAGTGTGCAGCACGTGCAGTCAAGGCCAATGGTGATGTGGGTTTAGAACTGTTGAGTCCCATTCATGTAATAAATAGAGAAGAAGGTAAGTTTAGTAAACAATTAAGTGATTCTGAACACTTTTATTCAGAGAAATTGGGTTGTTTAGCAATGAAAAAGATGGAACAATTAGAAGAGCAATTATTAAGTTAGTAGCAAAGGGAGTTAGATATGACATCCAACATTTGCACTTCAATATATTTATTGTAGTAAGTATACTTTTATTTTTTTAAAATAATAATTTGAAATTAAGAACCTGTGTAACTTAGCCAGGTGAAAAATAGAGCTAGTAGCTTTATGACCAGGGCTCTTCCTCTGCATTTATGTCATTTGAAAATAAGCTTATAACATGTTGGTTTCCATACATGTAAAAAAAACATAAAGTTGGCTTGCAGTGTATCCAAAGGATCTGTGATGCTCTAAATTTGCATGTAATCTGATACTTCCTACAATTTGCCTATGAGGGAAACAATTGTGAAAGGATTTCCAAATCTGTTATTTACACGTATTTGTGCTATGTGTGTTGGAGATGTGAGCTGCCTGCTATTGGGGATGCATACCCTTCCTGGGATGAGAGTTAAATAGCTTGAAATAGATCTATACTAGTCTCCCTTTATTATCAGCACAAATGCAACACAAAAATGGTTTCCTGCCTGGAAGGCTCCTAGGGTGGGGCTGAAAGGCAAAAAGGAAGAGCATGCTCCCTCCCATATTTGGGCATACAAGGTACTTTGACATCACACACAAACACACACACAAGTATATACTGTATATACTATACGCACACACACTTACACACAAGAGCTTCGATGATTACTTTAGTAACTTAATGACACTTGGAGAGAGCATTTAGACTTATAGAATTCCATATCAGGTATTTATCAGCATTTACTATTAAACCATGAGCATAAATAAAATTATATTACGATAATACAGGTAGTCCTTGATTTACAACATTTCATTTAGTGACCGTTAGAAGTTACAGCATCACTGAAAAAAGTTGCCTATGACCATTTTTCACATTTAAAGCATCCCATGAGCATGTGATCAAAATTTGGACACTTGGCAACTGGCTCATATTTATGACAATTGCAGTGTCCCAGGGTCACGTGATCAGCTTTTGTGACCTTCTGATGAGCAAAGTCAATTGGGAAGCCAGATTCACTTTACAACCGTATTACTAACTTAACAACTAAATTGATTCACTTAACTGTGGTGAGAAAGGTTGTAAAATGAGGCAAAATTCACTTAACAACTGCCTTGCTTATCAATGGAAATTTTGGGCTCAATTGTGGTCATAAGACAAAGACTTCCTGTGCTTATTTTTCATAATTGTGTAAGTTACCCAGAGTCACATTAATGAGAGGTGTCGCCTGATCGATCAATCAATAAAGGGCGCTGTTTTCCCGTAGGTCTGTGCCAACCACGTATTCTGGGTACAGTTGGAGCAGAGCCTTTCTCAGCCAAAATTCATTACATGGGTCCTGATGATCCTGACTATCCAAACCTGATCAGGTTTTCAGTTACCATGCCTCATATAGATGGTAAGTACCAGACATGTGTGCCACTAGAACCAAAACAGCTGAAATGGTGTTGCACCAATTGACATCGGAAGGAGATTTTTGAAACAATTATTCAAAGACAACTTTTAATGCTTATCCTCAACTTTGTTTAACATGCTTAACAAAGAAAGAATATTATATTTATTCTTAACTATAAGAAAGAGGAAAATCTACTAGATTTAGTGCTGAAATGGAGAAGGCTTGGAATAAGCAGTAGTTTTGCGAGTAGGACCATGAACTCAATTTAGAATCAATTCATAGACTTTAAAAAAATCTTTATTTTTTATTCTAGATAATGTTTCACCAAATGCTTAGATTTGAGGATTTAAATATAATATGCATATACACACAAACAGACTTGTATGTTTAAATTTAAAAACAGCAATATGAAGTTTCACAACCATACGTTGGAATAATGCAGTAAAATGTAAATAAAGGTTATCTTATCTTATATGGGAAATAACTATTATTTCAGTGTACTTTAGTTCCATAAAACATTATGCTTCACCTACAAAAGATTTAGATGTCCTTTGGCTACTAACTACAAACATTTTTCTTAACCCTGTTTTGAAATTTGAATTACTATTGTAAAACTTATCTGAATCTTACATATGCTCTGAATGTAATATTGTTAATATAATGTAATCACCAGTTACTTTTATTATTAGTGCATAAAATATCTAATAGACAATTTCTGATTTCAGGAATGTTGCCAGTAATCTCAACCAGACCTTTGTCGAATTTTGAGTTGACACTGAGCCCAGATGGCACTCGTGTAGGAAATCACAAATGCTCCAATCTCTTGGATTATAATGAAATTGAAACAAAACATGGCTTCATCACAGATGATATCAAGAATCCAGAAGTGATTGGAGAAACTTCATCCTATCAATACAGCAGTAGCATACGATCAGCTAAAACTTTACGTTTCTACCGTAATCTCAATCTGGAGGCCTGCCTATGGGAATTTATCAGTTATTATGATATGTCAGAACTGGTAACCAGCTGTAGCGGCTCCATTGGGACAGATGGTCAGGTAGGCTTCATTGAAGAAAAGCAAATATCTATTAATGCAAGGATTTTACTTAGTTGCTTACACAGCAAGTCATAGTATGAAAAACCAGAACAGATTATTCCTTCATTTAAACCAATAATATACAAAATCAAAATATACAGTGTTACCTCAGTACTCAACTGCTTCAAATCTCATTGAATTTGCTACTCAGTACATTTTGACATGAAAATATTGTCCTGGTACTCACCTTTTGTTTGGTACTCAACTTGCTGCCATTCCAGGAAGGTCACTGCAAAAGGAAGTGTGGGACGGTCGCAGAGGGAAGACAGGAAGTTGGCCATGCTGGGAAGGCCACTGACATAAGAAAAGAGACAAACAGGAAGTTATTCCAAACCAAAACAAAGGGTTGTGATAAATCACATGGTTTGTTTGATACTCATCATTTTTAGTACCCATTGCATCTCCCAGAACCAATTAATGAGTAATGAGGTTCCATTATATATTCTGATTCAATCTGTCTACAGCAAAGCTTTCATAGCACTCTTTTCCTAACCCTTTTGATGGAAATTCCTATCTATTACTTGGAGTATTGCTGCTATTCAGGAAAGGAGTTTTGTGGCAGACGGGCCAATAATGTAGTTGAACTCAGAAATTTATTACGGTTTGTTAAAGACCACATTATTTCCTGATTCACATATAAACAAAGTAATAAAGTTAGTTTATCCAACACAATGGCAGAATCTATGCGTTGTGCAAAACAAAGCCAAGGAACAATTTTGTGCTTAATGCTCATAACAGTTCAATTAGAAAATCAACCTAAATGGCATAACAAAAGCTTTGCTGATAGCACGTTAAAAAAGATCCTCTTACAAGCAAATTAGTTATTTGGAGTTTCAAACAGATTGCCACTTTTTAAGTGATATAATAAATACATAATATATAATCAAAACAGAATGAATATAGAAAGGAGAAATGTGTATATGTATAGCTAAGATTGGAGGAAAATTTGGCAGTCAACTTAATGTCTAACTAAACTATAAGTATGAAAATAAAATTATAGATACCAGACTTCCTAGGCACCGTTAATTTAATTTCCATACATAGGCAAAGAAAAAAGTGCCATCATATACATGATTCTTTTATGTGCTAACTCTCAAAGACTGTACATGATTCTAATATATTCAGTTTGAGCATAAATCAAATGATTGCATGAGTTTACTGACAAAGATAGTTCAGATAGTACTAAAATTACAGATAGTAATTTTTATGATTCATGAATGGGGGCAACTTAAATGCAGCCAAATAAGATCTTATATATTTCAGTGTGACTGATGAGCCAATAGTGTACTAATATGCACCAAATGGAAACGCCATATAAAGCAGGAAAAAAACTGTTTTAGTTAATTCAGGGTGGCAGAACTCATTTGAACTTAAAACCTGATAATATCAATTTATTACTGATGGGTGACATTCAACTTAGTGAGAGAAAATAACATTGCCTCTTGCTTTAAAATGAAGTGTTTTTCCAAATTATGTACTATATATTTAAATTATAGCCCTGTAGTTTAAGCAGGCAGGGAGAAAGAATGTTTGGAGAATTTGACTTCCATGTCATCTCCTAATCAAATTTATATTATTATAAGCTATTACTGATGGGTGGTTACATTCAGTTTTGCTTTGGATTTTAAAAAATATTCTCAACTGCTTGAAATCCTGAAGATTATTTTGAGTGTTAGGTGCCAGTTATATTTTTTTTCTGGAGTTTTATTTACTTCTTAGAATACAGGCTTTGATTAGTTCACTTCTTATTCTTCATCTGATTTGATATCAGTTCTAAAAGCAGGAGAGGAAATTGGTGACGGTGATGCTTATCTTTAATAATCAGAAACTATACTTTTGAATATGAGCAAGTTCACTTTTGAAAAGTTGGACTGCAATGCACCGGAGGTAAGAGATGAATGTGAGATTCTTAATATCAACTTAATCCCATAATAGGGCCTTGATTGTAATCTTAGATTGCCACACACTCTGGGATGACTGTCAAATTGATTTTAGAGTGGGGTTTTGTTCTTTGCTGGGGTTGCATTACAGAAGCCAGGAAGAGGGCTGCCTGCTTAGGTTTTGGCCCACACTCCATTCTCTCCCACTTCTCCATAAGCTGTAAATTCATTTTTGAAGCATCAAAGTAAGATTTCTAAGTGCAACAAGAAATGTTTGTTCTGGAGCCAACACATATCAGAAAATAAATAAACAAAAAATGGTATGATGATGGGATTTTATACTGTGTTCAGAAGAGTTGATTTTAACTCCCAAAGATCCAGTATGAACATAGGGTGATCTAATGCTGTGCTGTTTTACAGGTGTTGAATCTGGTTCAATCGTATGTCACTCTTCGAGTGCCCCTCTATGTATCTTATGTCTTCCATTCGCCTGCAGCAGTTGGGGGCTGGCAACATTTTGACCTGCAATCTGAGTTGAGGCTCACTTTTGTGTATGATACTGCCATTCTATGGAAAGACGGTATTGGAAGTCCACCAGAAGCAGAACTGCAAGGTAAATTATAAATATTTGAGAGGTTTGATGGAAGCTTTTGGAGCCTTTATTAAGAACTATAATTGCATCTCCAGAATAGCAGCCTGTTAGCATTGAAGTGGAGCCTACAAGGTTTGATTTTGGAATAGATTTTGAATGCCCCAACACTGGAAGTCTTTAAGAAGATGTTGGATAGCCATTTGTCTGAAACGGTATAGGGTTTCCTGCCTAGGCAGGGGGTGGGACTAGAACACCTCCAAGGTCCCTTCCAACTCTGCTATTGTATTGTATTGTATTATTTCCTTTTTTTCTTTCCCAGAACCTTTTTACCTTAAGAGATTAGTCTGGAAAACTGGCTACTTATAGGATGTGAAAACTCAGCCTCTTAGACACAATTAGCCATATGGAACTTCATAAGAAAAAAATAGCTGGTTTCTAGGCTGGATTGCAGTAAACAACTTTATCCAGCCATTTGCAGAGTGACAGCTGCTTCAAAGCCAAGCTATCTTTTAAAACAAAATTTGTATTATTGATGTTGTTCTATTTTCATGTTTATTGCTTTATTTTATCATAGCAATGATTTTGGCTCCTTACTCCACACAATGCTGACTAAGTCTTGTGGTTCTTGCAATCCAACACATTTGAATGATACCAAACAACTAGTCTTTTTATGAATATTTCTAAAATAATATAATGGCTGCTTACATCTAGGGTCTCTTTACCCAACCAGTATGCAAATCAATGATGAAGGGCGATTGGTGGTCCATTTCAGGACAGAAATTCGATTCAGGGGGCAATTCATAATATCCCACCCAGGTAAGGCCAGCATTTTGTATGTTTCCTAAGTATCTTTTCTAAGCTAAAAATCTCTTTGTAGGTCTATGACAACAGACTTTGGGATTTAATGAGAATCTCATAAGCAGTAAAGAACTTATGGTTTCAACTGGGTTTTATCATTTATTCATGAAATGCTTTAGATTCCCTAGTGAGAAGAGGGAAGCATATTTTTGCCAACTTCCTTCTGACTTCAAAACACACAGCAAGGATTTCCTGATCCGACACTACCCATTAGTCCATCTCCTTATATCCTGATTCTTTGCTTTCCTAGATTGGAATGGGTTAAAATATTCATGACTGGGAGAGACTTGGGAACAAGGTCAGTCAATGAATTGGCATAGCAACTAAGTCAGCCAATGGGAGCTTAAACAGATCTGAGTCTGTGCAAAGAATTGAAACAAAAACTTAAGAACTCTGCTGCTCTAAGAAGTAAACTAGCAGTCTGTCTGGGCTTTTGTCTGCTGAAATGAAAGTAACTGCTTGTGTTTAATTGGAAGAACCATCAGTTGCTATTGTACATTTATTCATCTATTCTTATGTCTATAAACAAGTTAATGAATCCAACTGAATCAGTTATCTGTGTGTGCTTCTGGATTTGAATTTATGCAACAAACTCTGACAGAATAGAAAAGATAGTTCCATCCACAGTGTGTTGGATAACATCAATGAACTTCATCATAAAATGGTATTTCACTTTTGCAGGTACTTCTCTGACTTCTATGGTGATGTCATCTGACCATCCTGGCCTTACATTCATATTGAACCTTTCTCAAAGTGAGCAAACCTTCAATCAGCCAATGCAGCAATGGAAGTTTCTTTCCGATTTTGCTGTGAGTACTAGCATTAGCATTTTGTGGTAGTTTTTATTATTTAAAAAAAAAAAGCACCAGCATAAACTCATTTATACTTGCAAGTCTCTGATGTTGAGATTTAGATTAGGTTCATACAAACCTTCTTTAAAATAAATTTTAGTGTGCTATAAATAATCACAGGTACGCAAACCATGGCTTAAGATATGGCTTCAAAATAGACTTTGGGTGGCTTAGGAGCAGATATTTTTACACGCATATTCAGTAAGAGTACAAGCATATGAGTGAGTTTTGTGTCTTCAGACTATATATGGTAGAGCGCAGGGACGTGCACTCACTAGAGGCAGGGGAGTTCTCTGGCGCCTCCTTTGCATAAGGATTTTTTTGCCTTTTAAGGGTTAACCAAGGGTTAAAAAGCAAAAAAAAAAATGCAAATGAGGC